ACTGTATAAGGTGGCTAAGAAAGGGAGCCCGATCCAGTCTAATGCACAGTTTAGGTCAGCGTGTTATATAGTCGTCATAACGAAAACAAGAACCTCCAATTTGACTGCACTTAATATGAAGAAGAAAAAGCTGTGATTTACCATCTGATGCGGATCTTGTGGCATATTTACTCAAAAGTAAATGCCAATACTTTCAGGAGAGCTTGCTCTTAAGCGAATAATCGTGGAATGTAATGTAATGTAATATTATTATATTCTGTGATTGTTATAAGGCTGTCCCCACAGACTTTCTTATTATCCCCATGCAACAGGGAGAACATTCTGATGAGCTCAGAAAGGCCGGGTACAATTCATCGGAGTTTTAGGAAGTGTTTCAAATAGGGCCGAAAAGTCTCAAATTCTTCGATTAAACAGAGGAGGAATTGCCTTTAAATGCGCCTTCCAATACCGTACCCCTATTTTCTATCCAAGACCCCACAAACCTCGGGTGCATATCTTCCTCCTCACTCCTGACCTCCAAAGATTGTGTTACCAAAGTTAATACTTACTTAACAAAAACGGGGCGAAGAGGGGGGGGTTAGGTGGTAAGGAAAATTATTCACATGACCAGAGAGGAAGCATACCAACTATTTTTCATTTTAATTAAATCTAAAAGTAAAGAAATCCTAGTTTTTGCCTTAGTTTGTTTTTTAAAAAACAAATCTTCGGAGGTTGCAGCCCCGGTGCCACATTTTGTGGTCTCCTGCCATGAGACCACAATATCCTTCTAATCTTAGCTATTGGCTAAGGCTCTCTTATGAACTATCCTGCAAGTAAGTTCTACATAGCAGTACCACTAGTACTACGAGAAATTTTATTAATTATAGGACACTTCCCCACTGCCCTTAGTCAGATGAAAGAACCTCACTGGTCCGGGGAAGGCAGCGTGGGGGGGGGGAGGCTTTGGGTTGATGCCCGCATCCCTCTCAAAAACAGACCACTTTGTTAAGGGACCACCCTGTTTTGAGAACTCGAGGTAGAGCATATGGTGCTTTTCCTACTGGGAAAAGCACCATATGCTCTACCTTTTGGATAGTCAAACTGTGCGCCTGCATTATTGTCCTCCGGTTGGGGCTGTTAAAGATAATGTCTCACCAAGACCAAGTCAGCCCGGGCAGCCCTCCTCCTCCACCCAGAAAATAAGCAGCCCACGTCCATCTAGGGAAATGGCTGGCATGAGTTTGAACCTAGTGCCTGGAATCCGATCCAGTCTAACTTCCTTTATGCCCACGCTAACCCTACCCTATAGGTAGCCAGGGCCATCAACTAAAAGCAATGCCTTCTTTCTCTTTCCCCCCCCCCCCGCCCCACCTCCAGTTTTTGAGATCTCTAACTTCAAGTCTGTTTCTGCAGCCACGTAATCAAGGTGGTTAGAAAGGATTGCCCTGAAGAAGCCTCTGCTCTCCTGGGTCGCGGGGGGGGGGGGGATAGGAATCCTCGCCTGAAAGCTCCACTTCTGGTCAAGTCAAGTTGTTTATGCCCTGCATCCAGGAACAGACATTGGGGTTGAAATCTGCAGAGGCTGGAGATGAACCATCTTTGCTGCTTGCAAACAGAAACCGTTCCTGTCTGAACCCTGATAGCCACCTGCGATTCCTCCCCCATCACTAGGGTGGTCCATATTTGGCCACTCAGGGAAGAGCTTGGTCTGCATTCTTGTGTGTTTTTCTTCAAGAGTAAAATCCTTCCCAAGAAGCACGCAAGGGCCCACAGACCTTTGACATTCTAACACATTGGGATGCAAAGCCCACCGGCTGTCATGAAAGTCGACCTGGTAGTTGCTTGTGTGTTTCAGCAACTGCATTTAAAGTTTTACAACCCTCTTTTCTAAAACGTGCAGGATTGACAGGTGTTAAATGGTGGTTTCTAGTTAGGACTCTATTATTTTCTATCAGTGTCACTTCCCAGGACTGTGCCTCTTTTCTGGGAATGGGTGCTATCTGTTTAAATAAGTGATTCCCCCCTCCCCCATCTACCTTTACATATTTGTCCAACTCAGTACAGCAGCTCACCTTCTCAGGAGAAACCACCACCTAGATTTGTGCTCAGCAACTGCGGACTGCAGTACAGAGACTAGATCCAATCTATCAAGCAGATAATACATTTTTATTAGCCCCAGATGTTGGTGGGAGCTGGTACTTGTGCTTTTGATTTTCTACCAATATTTGGCTCGTTAGAAAAGTATCTTTGCCTTTAGTTACTGGATGGGAGGGTGCCAAGAATGAAAGTAGCCAGGTCCCTGGCTACTTTTAGGTCAAATTTATTTCTTTTCCGGGAGGTTATGGTACAAGAATTGACATTTCCTCTCTCTGGATGTGTGAAGGGCTTTCTTAATTGCACTGGGCCTCCTGAAAATAAAAAGGCAACCCTCCAAACTCTTTATTATTTACATGCATAAAACACACGTTTGGCTGTGGAGTAGTTGATGTAGCCTGATGGTGCTATGCAGAGTTTTCTCTTCCTGCCTGCACCTGGTTTTCTAAATCAGTATTTAAAATATTTTCAAATCAATTTCAGCCACAAAGGGAGGAGAGAGAAGGGGAGGGGAGAGGCAGATTCAGAGTTTACCGAAACAGTAGTCCTCAGGGCAACCCCTAGAAAACAGCTGCAAGTACTACAAGATTGGAAGAAGTAGGGGCTCCTCCCCCACAATGAGCTGGCACAACTCTGGAAACTTTCCTTACCCGACTTTCTGGCCCAGCTCTTACTCAGAAGTCTAACCGAGGTGAAATAAGTTATTTCTGAAACAGGCCGAAAGGAACTTCAGAGCAATCTTTCTCATCAGGCCACACTTTCCAATAAGAGCATCCAGGGCTTGAGTAGGCAGGCATCGAAATCTGCAGAATAGCAAGCTGTCTTGTCCCAAACTCTTCTGTTTGACCCCTTCGAAGTTTGGAATAATTCAGACTTCTTTAATCCAACAGTTCCTTAATCCAATTATGAAGGTTGCTTGTTGGACTCTCGGTGCTATGTGAGTTTTCCCCCCCCCCCTCTTAACTTTTCGGCCTAAAACTCTCCCTGTTCCACAGTGTTTGTGGAGAGGGGGTTCTTCTTGCTGCTTTCAGGAGACGTGGCTGCTTATGACATCTTGGGGTGCCTGGGGTGTCTTTTTCTCTTTCTGGCAGAATCTCAGAATCCCAAACACTAGATCTTGGAAGAGAACAAATCTAGCGAACAAGCATTGAGGGACAATTTTGGACAAAATCATCTCCCAGAAGATAATTTAGGTCTGGGACCAGCCTAGGTGCACACTGAAAGTAAACCAAAAAGACTCAGAGGGCTAGCCAGCAGTGATTCTGGTTGCAGTCTTAAAATCTTAAAAGCAATCATCCAGGCCAGGCTTCCTGCCGGTGGAAGATCCCAGGCCCCTGCTTTGGCATTGCTGTATTAGAAGGGCAAGTTCAGTGGAAAAGAAATAGGAAAAAGAAAGGCAGGCGGGAAGGGAGGGAGGAGAAATAGTTTTCCTATAATACCCGAATACTGTATGAAGGGCTTGTATTGTTCCTTAGAAATGAATAGAACTTGTTTGTGTTGATATTGTAGAACTTTGGGGACTCTTGACCCACTATCACTTGATCTAATGTCTGGAAGCTCCTTCCTATTGACGCGGAAGCCAGTCTTAATGAAATGAAAGGAACTTGCATCCGGATAGATAAGCCCCCCCCCGCCCCCGCAGTACCGAAACTCCTGGGAGTTTATTTTCAAGAAAATTGTGCGCAAGCAGGTGTGTTTTTAAAGGATGGAGTTTGATAAAAAATTAAGTCCAATGACCACTTATTCAAATATACACCTCACTTCCCACTAAACTGACATCTAAGAAAAACGCGAGGGAGTTTGTCACTGGAAAAAGCCAGGGGAAGATTTAGGAATGAACCCCCGGACGCTATTCAATTATGCTCATCACTCTGGATTAAAATATATAAGGGATGGCGGGAGGGCACTTTCCTCTCTCCCCCCCCCAACTCACAAATACCTCCTGAGAAAAATACAGTATTCCATTCAGAGCTGGAGATCTCTCTGCCTCATTTTAAAAGCAGCGTGCATACACCGACAGTGAAGTACTATTTAGACGCAGATACCAAGATATTAAAAACACGTGGTTTTTTTTTTTTTTTGCTTATTGTATTGACAATTGGCTAAATAAGGGTTTTTCATACAAACCAGCGCTTGTGACAACTTGGTCGATGGCGATCCATTTGTTTCTCAGTTATAGATTTGGGGGCATTGCTTTCTCTCACACTAAACCCACTGTCATAATTAAAATAAAAATTGAAAAGCTACATCCTTTATAGCTCCTTAGAGCAGCGCAGGTTCATTGACCTCTATGGGTTTTAATTCTGAGCTGGCAGAAGGAAAGGCGGCCTTAACTGGCACAAATTAGACTGTTTCTTGTCTTTTGTGATGTTAGGCTAGATTGAAAATTAGAGACACAAATAAAAGGAACAATGCCAGTTGGCTTCCTTCCTTCAAGGAAGTTCTTTCTAATACTCCACTCCCGTTCGTTGAAAACTTAACTTCCATATCTACTAGACTAGTTTTCCGAAGACGTGGCTTGGAATCTAAGTCGAATCGGGGATATTTATCTTGGCCACAGCCCGATTTTGCTCTCGAATAAATCAAACTGGTCCCTGCGGTAACCGATTCCCCTAGGCGTCCCCCCTCCCTAGACTAACTTTTCCAAAACTTTTTTTAAAAAAGAAAGGAAAAAAAAAATCAGTGCAGACAGAGAAGCCCTGTGTTCCCCTTCTTTTGTACTTTTCCCAGGCTGCGGGTGCCTTCCTAAATCGCAGCCCCGAGCCCCCCCCCTCCGGAGGTTAGTTCGGAAGGGAAGAAGGCTTACTCCCGGGCCAACGCAGCGCACTTCGGTCCGGAATGAAGTAAGCCTTGCACATCCCTTCCCGACCGTCTCCGAAGCAGACCCCTTTCTGCAGAGAAGCGGAAGGGAGGACGGCTCTACTTACTCATACCTTTCTTTGGCCTCCGCCGCCCGGTCCCGCTGCCTCCGGTTTTTGAACCAGTTGCTGACTTGGGTGGTGGTGAGCCCGGTGGCCTCGGCCAGTTCCCGCTTCTCCCTGGGGGACGGGTATGGGTTGTGGGCGTACCATTCCCGCAGGACGCTCCGGCTCTTCTCCTTGAAGCAATAGCTGGTCTCCTCGCCATCCCAGATCGAGCGGGGCAAGGGGAACTTGCGGCGGACCCGGTACTTGCCGACTGCCCCTAGGGGTCGCCCCCGCAGCTTCTCGGCCTCGATGTAGTGCGCCTTGAGCCACAGCTGCTGCAGCTTGGGGTGGTTGTGCGCCGAGAACTGGTGGCTCTCCAGGATCTTGTAGAGCTCGCGGAAGTTGCCTCGGTGGAAAGCTACCACGGCCTTGGCCTTCAGGACGCTCTCGTTCTTGTGAAGGTGCTCGCAAGCCGGCAGCGACCAGAGGAAGCGGCCCAGCCTCTCGATGTTGCCCCCTTGCTGGAGCACTTCGCACACGCAAGCCACTTGCTCCTGGGTGAAGCCAAAAGTGGGCAGCATGGACATGGTGGCGCGTCCGGGAAGGCCCTCCTGCCGTCGCCGCCGGCCCTCTTATCGTAGCTACCCTGGCCGAAAGGGGGCAGCCGTCCGGACCCGGCGCCCCGCAGGCACCGCCGGGGGGGGGTGTAAAACACCGAGGGGGAGGCGGTCGGGGGGCGCGCGGGAGCCAGCGACGCTCGGCGCCAATGGGGAAAGGGCTCCGCGAGGGAGCGGCCAACCACAGCGAGCTCGAACGGCTGCCTTCCGAACGAAAGCCCCGGGGCTAGGTCAGCGCGGCTGCCCCTGTCCCGGCCGGGGCGCCCATGGAGCCGGAGAAGCTTCGCGCGCGAGGGTGGCTCCCACGCAGCGCCCGCGCCGACGCCCCACCTTTGGGCTCCGGGTTTGTTTGTAAGTCCCCGAGTTCCGACCGTCAAACTTTGCGCCTCTATTGTGTGAGAGACGCGGCACTTGCAAGAGTGGAACTTTCACTCTCCCCACCCCCTGGCCGGGCTCGCAAGTTCCTCTCTCGCTCGCGCGCGCGCTCCCTCTCTCTCTTCCCCCCCTTTCTGCCATAGGATCGCTTACATGGAATCAAGTCCTTTAAAACCCCGCTTCCCCTTTCCTTCTTTTTCTCCTCCTCCTCCTCCTCCTCCTCTCCTCTCCTCTCTTCCCTTTCTCTTTTCTTTTCCTTACCGATTCTTCTCTTCTTTAACCCCCCCGTCCTCCCCCCCCCCTTTCTCCTTGCTCTTCTTTGCCTCTCTCCTTCCAAATGTTGTTCTAAACTGGCATGAAAAAGTGATTAGCCACGCAGTGATTGGTCCAGTTATCTGACTCGGGGACTGCCAGGGAGAAGACAATAGTTTTAATCAAATTATTTGCCATGGTGACGCTGTCAATCAAAAGTAACCGGATCTGTTATGAGGTGGCTCCCTGGCTCAGTTGACAGATTGCTGCGAGCCACTCAGAAGCGGACTCTCAGAGCTGGACTGTTACTAAGTGGGAGTTGGGGAGTGGGGGGAACGAAGGGTGTGGGGGAGGGGAAAGCAATATGCGTTGTGATTGACACTGCAAAACACAGAGGGAATGGGTTCCCCCGAGATCCAACCTGGGCTGGTTGCAGACTGACAGCGGGGGCACTAGAACAACGGCAGTAACCCCCCCTCCACCGGCAAGAGCCCCCTCGTTTGAGAGCTTTTCACCATTTCAGAAATTCCAACTTGGGGCGGGTGGGGGAATTGTAGGAAACCTAGGAGCAGCTCAGAATTGCTGTAGATTTGGGTGGAAGCTCCGGTGGAAACGAAGAATTTCTTACTGCCTATTCACTTATAAAAAGAATCTTTATTTGCATACAATGTAGTAGCCCCTTCACTTTTTCAAAAAGCGAAACCACAGTATTTTTCAAATGTACTTTCCCTTAGTTTACAGCTTAGGCTGCTTATTTCAAGACAATTTGGAGAGTCACTAAGTTGAATCTTATCATTTCAAGCTGCAATCTCTCCGCTTGCCAACCCCAGCTTTCTAAAATTATTTTGCTTTCAAACACAGTTGCAACCCTGAAATAAAAAGGAACGGAGATATTAAGTCATTGTTTGCAGAGAAACTGTGCCCTCCACCCACTACACACATCCTTGAAAATTGCAGCGTGGTGGGTCTGTAAAAACAAGATGGGCGTTGTATCAGATGTGTATTTCATTTATTTAAATGCACTGATCTAAAGATAAGTAGTAAAAAAATAATGTTTCCAAAAAGTTAAGATTAGGATTGCAGTTTAAGTAACTCTCAGACACAACTGCCCAGAAGTAAATCCACTGAATTCAGTGGCACTTTCTTTTAAGTAACCCTGCCCCCCCCCCAAAAAAAATCAAGCCAAACATTAAAAATATAGGCGCCAGTCCTGCCTAAAACGACAGTGGGAAAACGACTTTTGAAAGACCAGTAGAAAATACAGTGGTTCGTTCTTGCTTTGTTAGAAACTTCTCTCAGCGTTTCTTGACGAAGAATACTTTTTCCATCTCTCTCGCTCTCCCTCTCCCTTCCCCTCCCCTCCGTTGTTTAAAAACCGCACACCTGGGTTGCAAGGGAGAGAGCGCAAAGCAGCGCAGTCCACCTATTCAGCAGAGAATACCCACCTACACTAAGCCGCTATAACCGAGAGGTCGTTTCATTGCGACAGAAATAGAGATACCGGTGCGCTTTTTCTCTTCCTAGTTTTATTTTCCCACTTCTTTTAATTTCACCTCCTCCTCCTAAATAGAAAGTGGTGTGAAAATGATAGGAGATCAAAAGAAAAGAAGCTGATGGGCATCTGCAAATGGGTGTCAAAGGCAATTTGGAGGAACAAGTGGGTGAATTCAGTTCTGGTAGGATAATTGGGGATCTCAAGCTGCCGGCGTTCCCAGTCCCCCTAAACCTTGCTACCAACAAAGCGTTTCCATTGGTGGCTTGGTGTCCCTTGTCCCCAGCCTTAAGTCCTGAAAAAATACACAGTCCACAATTTGATCACTGGGACCGACCTTTCCTTTCTCGGCGAGCTTACTAGCCTAATTGACAGCTGGCGGCGGTTGATCCAGAGTTTAGTTGCAGGAAACGTTCCCGGATTCCAAGCTGACTAACGGGTTGGTCCCTCAAATCCTACTCCCCGATCCTACTGCGCATAGCTGGTTATAACGAATGGAGTGGGGGGAAAAAAGCATTCTGTCTATGCTCAGCAGAACTTTCGTTAAATACTAAGCCCCCAAATCCTGGGCTTGCTCGCGCAAGATAACAGTCGAGGACCTCACGCTAAGCCCCGAGACTTAATTCCCGGGGAAACCGAGTCTTAGGATAGCTCTATTGAGAATAGACCTATAGAAATATAGAATAGAAAGGTCTATTGCCTTTCTCAGCCATTGATGGAGGGGCAAGGAAGAAAACCGAGAAGAAGCCCTGCCATCTGAGCGACGGAAGGCAGGAAGACGGTGCCGGCAGCTGCTTTCATGGATCTCCGCGGATAGCCAGGCAGGAGCCCGAAGGTGCGCTAAAACCTCCAGAACTCGGACAACTGGGCAGGGGTGGAGAGATTAACAAGCTCAGCTATGCCCCGTCGTGGTGCACTAATCACGTAGGAACCCCAAAACTCCGACGGAACCGGGAAAACAGCCCGGGGCGCGGGGTCCAGGGGCCGCTCCAAAGTTTATATGATAACTGAACGCTTTGATTCGAAGAGCAAAAAGCTTCGGTGACACCTCGGCTTTTGTCAAGAACGACCTTCTCGCTCCGAAGTCGAGATTCGGCATAAACGTTTTTTTGCTTAAAGGAAAAGTTTAGATCTTGTTGGAAATACTTTTTTTCTAGCACTCTGAAAAGTCGTGATTTGAAAAAAAAAATAAATGGAAAACTCCTCGGTTCCCCCCCTTCCCCCGGGGTACGTCCTCCACTCCGGAGCCTTTGGGTTACTCTGAGAACTTCACTGTTTGATGCGCCCTATCATCCGGGTTTATTTCTCCGACTTCTGGAGATAGTTTTTAATGGAGTGGTTGCCTCCACTTTCCTTGCCGTAACCTGACTTTGGGACTCTGACTCTCGTGTCGTTTTATCAGGAAAGGGGCTATCGATCCCAAGGGGTTACACCTCTAATCAGCTGCTTTCAAATCGAAGGGTGAGCGCAGCAAACAGACGCGAAGGAGTTAGGAGACGAAGCTTTTCACGCCGACTGCACCCCGGCTGCGCCTCCGGACTGCACCGCGCAGAAGATGGAATTCAGTAAGATTTATCCTCCATTGTGTGAGGACCGTTTGGGGGCCGGGGAGAGAGAAAGAAAGTCTCTCTGTCCTAGGAAAGGTTTTATGTAGTCCAGTTGCCTGCATTTACCTAAATCGCGGGGTCCCACCAAGCCGACAGAGGATAAGGAAACGGCTCTTGCCATTGAAATAAGCGGAGCTCACTCTCCGTGGAGAGCTGCTGTACAAGACCGAGTTGCAAGGTCTCGCTGAAATTAATTAGGCTGTGGGGTCCGATGATTCCAAAGTTACTAAGCTGCTTGTCTAGGAACAATAAAAAGCAGGCAAAAGAGACACGAACAAACGGGAAGCTCTTTAGTTTTAAGGCGCCAAACCTCAACAAAACAAAAATACAGCTTGGGCGCTAAAGGTGTTGTGTTAGCTAGCAGAAAGGGGATTACAAACACTTAGGCTGATTTTGGTGGGACGGCGAGTAGCCATTATATTGCACTAGACATCAACGTCATTCTAAGAGCTTTACGTTCCAATGTCGCCCCTGAAATGAATATTTACGGTAGGTGGCCACCGGCAAGCCCTTCGCTCGCAACCCCATTTTCCACCCGTGGTTAAAGACAACAGAAACTCGTCTTCTCCACGGGTTTGCAAGAACTGCATAGTGAATGTAGGAACGAAGCCTTCCAAACACTTGGAAACACAAAATCCATCTTCATTCCCCTTAGACTGAAACGCCACGGACCCAGAGACAGACTCCAGAGTGTCCTCGGAGTACGGAGCAGGTCCTTTTAAACTGGAAAGGAGCAGAGATGTAGAACGGCGGTCTCTCTCTCTCTCTCTCTCTCTCCCTCCCTCCCTCCCTCCGTCTCTCTCTCTCTCTCTCTCTCTCCCTCCCTCCCTCCCTCCCTCCCTCCCTCCCTCTCTCTCCCGCTCCCTCTCTCCCTCCCTCTCCCTCTCCCTCTCTCCCCCCCTTTCTCTCCTTCTGCTCTTAATGGTTTCTTGGACGCGACTTGAATTCACTTGCTCCGATCCGAAAACCAGGGCAGCTGAGAAGGGGGGGGGGATCGTAATTGGGAAGGGGCGGGGGGGGGCTCATAAGAGAACAGCAGCTGTTCTCTCCTTAGCCGGAAGAGACGTCAGCCGCTCTCTTGGGGGCCGATTGAAGATACTCTCCTGCTTCTGCATCACCCTGGGAAAAGCCCCCTCCCCTCCCTATGGGAAAAACGGCGTGGACTCCTTGATCCTCTCGAGTCCGGCAGAGATTTATTCGCCACTTTTTAACTCGGGGAGGCAAAAACGTCGCATCAAATCCTGTACATTGACTCGATTGCCGAAGTCATTGATCGCGCGAAGCGTACAGACAGACCCACTCGACCCCGTCTTTTGAGAAATGCAGAACATCTGGGGGGGGGGGACAGGAAAAAAAAAAATCAGAAGGCTTGGGCGAAAGAGCGTAGATCCCAAATCCCCGGGACCGATCCGTTTCTTTTGAATGTACAGATGGCGTCTTCCGAAGAGGCAACGCAAGACGGGACTCAGCTGGACTAGGCTCAAGTCAGAGAGTGGTGGAGTGAAGTTTATCAACGTTTTTCGCGTTCCCGTTTTTCAATGCTGTTCGGCTACTCGAGCCAAAAATCCAATTATGGCCACCGGTCAGTGTCCTGGCTCCTTTCCGGATTAGGACCTTTCCGTCAAGTTGCTCTCTCTAGCATTTCGGGAAGTGAATTTTCATCTGGAGGGGGAGGAATGAGGGGCTTCTCTGGTCCAATGGCGATCCGCAGAAGGGACCGTTTGTCGAAGTCTGAGGCTTTTGGGTCTCCTTCCCATTAGTCCCAATGAAAAATAGCAATTTCAGGGGAAAGCGCCGACAACCACAAATACATGCACCCCAGGTAGCAAGTCTGCAGTTAAGTCTACCGCAGGGGTCCTCAACCTTGGCAACTTTAAAATGTGTGGACTTCAACTCCCAGAATTCCTCAGCCAGCTTTGCTGGCTGAGGAATTCTGGGAGTTGAAGTCCACAGTCTTAAAGTTGCCAAGGTTGAGGACCCCTGGCCTACCGCATCTGAACTGTCAAATAGTGGTAAAGAGCCCTCTTTGCTTCCTCCTTGTGGTCGCCTGGAGTTTTACAGCACCAATTCTCCACTCTATTTGCATTTGGACCGAGAAATGCTTCATAGATATTCAAAAGTACTTATTTCTATAAGAAAAAAACCAAAAAGGAGGTGTGTGTGTGTATTGGAGGGGGAGGAAGTAAAGCTTATTCACACGCCTTAAATTATTCTAGAGACTCCTGTATATTGAGCAGGTGGATCATAAGAACTATTCAGAGTTTGGCGAATTGCAGCCAAAACCGAAATTCTAAAAATTGGCACTTGAATCTCTGGGCTTTTTACCTACGCAATAACAATCAGTAAACTTTTTAATAAATTAAAGGGCAGTTAAATCATCTGATGTCTAAATTTGTTTCAAAGAATGTGTTTGCTTTTATTCCAGCTTTCCTTTAGGGAAATCAAGGTAGTGTTGGATAAAGTTGCACGCTGACTTCTCCACCAGAGACACTGCTTGGCTCCAGCAGTCTGCCTTATTTTCACTTAAAGTCAGTCCAGAGTGCTCTCTGCTAAACCAGACTGTTCGCCGGATTGGGTCTATCGATATCCCTGCTAGCAGTTTGGGGATTGTAAATTGCTAACAGGATTCCAGGCTGGATGTAACTAAAACATCTCTACATTGTTTTTGTTCTTGATCTTGTGCCGATTTGCTTTTGGAAGAATAAAACGGATATTTTTGTCTCTTAAATGAAAGACCATCAGGATAACCTCTAATCATCAAAACTCTTCTTTTGAGAACCACAATTCCATGTTATCCTTTAAAATCACTTACATTGGTAGCTTCTTCTTCAAACCCATACAGTTAATAGTTACAACTCTTAGATGTGTGATAGCGTTTCCATGCTTGTAGACCTAGCCTTATTAGCAGCCCTAGAACAACCATTGGAGGAAAGGGGCAGAATGCTTATTCAGTCCTGAAGTTTCAATGGAGTACTTTGGGACCTTCAGCGCCCTTGAGCATACCTACCTCACAGGGTGATTGAGAAGATAAAATGATGAGGAATGTGTGTGGAAACTCTTCTGAAAATCTAGGGCTGAAGGGCAACATGTGTGTGTGTGTGTGTGTGTGTATGTGTGTGTGTGTGTGTGTGTGTGTGTGTGTGAGAGAGAGAGAGAGAGAGAGAGAGAGAGAGAGAGAGAGAGAGAGAGAGAGAGAGAATGAAAATAATCCAGCAAAATGTTTAAGCTGGTCAGGGAAGAATTTTCAAAAATTGGTCTAGCAGAATCCCTCAGGGTCTTGTTTTTGTGCATTGAAGTTGTAGGAATTGAAGGCATCTTTTGTTCTGGATCCTGCTAAATTTCAACACTTAAAACAATTTTTATAGCAACGGTTAAACTAATGTACTCCGTAGCAAAGATGATGACTGTGAAGATTATTAGCAGGGCTGATGATGTAAGTTCTAGGACTACACAGACCCTGTTCTAGGCATAGTGGAGGAGTGATTTTTTTGTTATCGAAATTGAACAGCTATTTTTCAATAGCCAACATAACTAGTTGCACTATAATTCCTCTAGTGCAATGTTTCTTACAGATCAGTAATATTGGCACAAAACCCCTGCAATTCCAAGGAGCTTTCAAGGATTGCCAATCTTCAACAAAACCCAAAAAACAAGCATTTTTTTTAAATATAAGAAAAATAATGAAGGAAAGGAATCCAAGCCAGACAGCCCATACCCCTTTTTCAAATAAAGAAGGGAAGCAGTTTCACAACTAATTAAAGAGAATATATGCAGCTCAGGGTTGACAAGAGGGGTCCTTGGTGCTCTCTGAGCTTGTTTTCTTGCTAGCACTGATGATGTTACCTAGTTTGGGTAATGAAACGTCTGCAAGATAACAAGCAAGCTCAGAGTGAACCAAGGAGCCCTCAGTTTCACAACTATTTTTCACTTTGAAGCAGTATTCAAATGTAATGGTGGTAATGCTGGGGGGAACTTTTTCCGTTCATGAAACGCCTTGATCTGATTTGATCTTCTTGAGTTCCAGCTCAGAGAGATTCCCTTGGCGGCTAAATACCTAGTGCCACCTTGGGTGAGACGGGATGGGAGAGGAGAGGTTGTGCAAGAAGAACCCTACCCAGTTTTACATGCCTCTTTTAAAGAGAACTTGAGAGCTGCGCGGGAGAAGATTTTCAGATAATGTTGTGACTAACTCAATTATGTTAAAACTTTGGCCTGAAAGAAACAGTATGCTAGGTAGGTAGCATGATGATGGAGCGAGGATTTGAAACGGGGGGGGGGGGCAGAGGGAGGAAGGGTTGGAGCCGGAGAAGTTGGCTCCCCCTCCCTCTCCTCTTCCTTCAGTGTGTTTGTGCCGACTCTTCTGTAAGGCTATTTAATGGGTAGGCTGAGTATTGTTGCCTTCCTGGATGTGGCTGACCACTTTAGAACTGGGGCAAGTTGGATAGGTTCTACTCAGTTTTGCACCTCTGGAAGGGTTCCCCACCTTTCAGTAATCCCCAGGGAACGAAGTTTTCCATATTTAGCCATAGAATGAAGGGGGCATGTGATGAGTAGCTTTGAGGTTGTGATCCTATACAATCAATTTGAGGATAAACTATGGTGTGTTTTTCAAAGTGGAGCCAGATCCAGCGGAAAGGTGGCACAAATCCCCCATTGATTCCTAGGGAGAGTTATGGACATGCACGCCAAGGAGCTTCATTTGCATTGCTGCAGTCATGCTGTGGACATAGTCACATAATGGGGTCCTCATCTCAACTGCAGGCTCCGGGCGGTCATCAAGAAGTTATTGGCTTGATTGTGAAAGCAGGTGAGCCGTGAAGATCTCTGATCAACCATTTCTCCCCACACCACAGGAAGGGACCAGGATGATCAGCATTCACCTCCTCAAACTGATTTATTTCATTCCACCTAGGAAAATTTGCCTCTCTCTCCATCCTGCGACTATTTCCTTCTTGTATGTTGCTTTATTGTACCACATTCAAACTCTGGAGATGCTCACCAGAGAAGCAGCAGCAGACAACTCAGCCCAAATAAGTCACAGGGAAGTCTTCATATCACCAGGTCTCCCTCAATGATAAATTATTCTGAAGAAGGTGGTAGCAAAGCCCAGAGAAAATACTTAGTCAGTTTGCTGGTAATGAGAGGCTCAGTTCATCTCACCATTTAGGGCATCCCTGGCCGAGAGCCAGAACAGAGGTAACAGAGGCTGGGTAGGGATTTGCAAGGGGAGCAGCGGATTTTATGCTGGCCTTCTTTGGCGCCATCGATTGCTGAGATTACAGCTGTTTGCTTTAATGACCTTTGTTTATTAATCTCCTATGGGCAGGGCTGGATTCTGGGAGTTAAGGTCCACAAGTCATAAAAGGGCCATCGTTCCTCACCCCTGCAACATTTCATTGGTTTTATCTGGGAGTATACCCAGGGCAGTGGGGATGACTTCCAGGTAACACCATTGAGGGTCTATCATTCCCCCAGCAAAAAATATAAAAAAAAATAAAAAAAATCAATGGGATATCTCCAACTTTCCATTCGTCTGGAGAATTGCTGGAAGTGCCCTTGTTACCCTTTCCCCACTAAATTCAAGTGGGCTAGAAATTCAGCCCTATGTTCCTCACAAGGGATTAAGTTCCCTTGGGTACATTCTCCAATGAAATGAGCGCTTGTCTTGAAGGGAGCCCATGAGTTTGCTTCTGAGCAAATGTCAGAAGTGGTTTGAGAGTCTCCTTAGGATCTCAGTCCGTGGCTGCCCTCCCCGCTCACAGTATGTGCCTTGACTTGACACTACAGTGTATATATATTGAATCCGCGAGAAAGCTTCAGCGCAGCAGATGTTTTTTTCCGGGATGGAGCGCGAAGCCGCCTTAGTCTGAAGGGAATCAGAGAGGCTAAGATCTAATTCGGGCGTTTTAAGAATTTGACCGCGGGAGGTGCAAACGCTGCCTGGGACTTAATCCGGACAAGCGGGTGCCGGAGTTGAAGGTAAGGTGAGAAAACCAGCCAAATCAAATGGCGGGCTCAGCCAGCGAGCAGAAAGTGCCCTTCCTCCTTTCCGGAGCAGGCGCAGGTGAGGGTTCCTGTCCTCGTTTGGGCTCGTAGCCGCCCCGGTAGTCTCCAGTTTTAATGGGGAGCCCTTGATTGCCTTGCCCTCGAAAACCCAGGTTGGAATAGAGCAAGGGGCGATGGTCCAGGTCCTACTGATCTCGGCTGCCTTCGCTTCCAGGAGAGCAAGCAGATGGAAAGAAAAGCCGAGTCGAGGCCTAGGGAGAGGAAAACGAGGGCCAGACAGAGGCGTCTCATAAGATTGATTAAAGCCCGGTCCAGCCTCTCCCACTGAGAGCGAATGAATGCCACAGATATCGAGAGAAGAGGGCGCAGGAAACTTTCGCTTATCCAGTGTCCAGATCTAAATCTAAAGCGGACAGGGCAGCGCGGCTTCAAAAGGAGCTTAACTCATACAGTTCTGGTCCACCGGCACGTGCCCACCCGGTTTCCCCCGGAGTGATGGATGGGTAGCTCTTTTGCGGCTGTTATCAAAAAGTGCAGATGCGGATTCGCTGCTAGTATCTGTTACATTCCTGGAGGCAACGGTTGATATTCCTAGACATTAACTAGCTCCCAAGAAATCCAATATGCAATTAGATCAGTTTTGGCCCAGGTCTCCTGGGTTCCCTCTTTAGATGGACCCAGATGGGACTCTTGAAATCGTGTGTGTGTGTGTTTGTGTGTGACTGGAATTATGAGCAGCCAAGAGCAAGAGGCAGAATCGCTGCCTCTGTGCCAATGTTGCCCATGTTGCTGGGAGGAACTCCAGACTTCGACTTCGGGCACCGGTTCCGCTTTCTTCCGATCCAGATGTTACTAGCCAGCTGGAGCTCCAGTCATTTCGGACCAAGCCCTGAGTGACCGTTAGTCATTCGGGTTTACCCCCAGGTAAACAGAGATCAATTGGATACATTTTATCCTGTAAGCTGGGTTGGGTTTCACCGCTTATACCACTGGTCTCCCCCTGCTCAATGCTCTATGGCTCGCGGGGCTACATCTTCCATTTCTTATCACCTGATGGGAACAGCAGTCATCGGGATAGCACTTGGTAGGGGAAGGCGGTCTTTGATTTCCCCCCCCCCGCCAGAAAGAATTCTATTCCTGATACTTAATTCATGAACTATAGAGACCCATTGATCTCTTACATTGCATAACAATAAAAGGAGTCTAAGTAAACGCCACCGCTTGCTTTCCAGTTCATCTCTATGGCAAGAGGTTGAACTCTGGACCTAAACTCCGTCAAATGAGGGTGTGGTCAAGTCAAGATAGAGGCCGATCACGGTGGGGTTGAACTATCCAAAAACGCGACCAGAAGTTGCGTTGATCGCACCGTCGTGGTCCCTATCTCGACTTCTTTGCCATATACTGCAGGCGCTCCAATTGTGTATAATTGGCGCGCCTGCAGTATTGCTTTGCACTCTCATTTGAGAAACGCCAATAAAAGCGGTCGGCACAGGACGGGAGGCGGATAGCAGAAGGAACAGTAACCGAGAAAGAGGGAAAGTGCGGGGAGAAAGTTGCTGCCATGAGCCCGCAAATCAGGGACCCTCCGCTGCAGATTCTTGGATTCCTGGCCTGCCTGGTCAAATGACAAGAGGCAGCCTTCTGTTTTTTGATAGAACCGCTTCTTGGGTTTTTTTTTTTTTTTTTTTTAAGCGCAGGGATTCTATATGGCTTTTCCTTTAG